AACTGAAATGTGTCCTGTGAGGGAACTGTTCACAGAAAGACACCTGACTGCAAATGATGCAATTCTTCAGTACCACAGTCATATGGCCTTAAAACTCAACAATTTTCAACGTAGCTCTATCTCAGAAAATCTCTTCTGAAATACTTATTTTTAACTCAGGAAAAAAATCAGTTTAGTGCTAAAACTAGAAAATAATAATCAGAAAATGTAAAGTGATGATCCACAGCAGCGAACCATTAAAAGACAAGGATAATAAAAAGAAGCTATTAGGATTTAACAGATATATGTCAGAAATCCTCACAAAAGCCTATTACATCAATTACATCACAATTTAATGTTAAGATCAACATATAATACACCATGTGGGAGGAAAACACATTCGTATGAAAAGAAACAGATATTCCTTTCTAGATATGGCCCATTAGTAACCTTTATAATACTAAAGGTTCAAGCAAACCCAAACAAAATGGTTATAAAAGCCAACCACAGTTGTAATTTCTTTGCTTTTCCTTCAGAGGCATTGGCTTTCATGCAGCTTTTTATTTTGTTTACCACCAACACTACACAGTGTGCACAGACTGGGGTTTAGGAGTGAAACACAAGCTCTGAGGGTTAAGTAGCACCTCCGACAGCCACTCACGTTTCGTGGGAACTGCTCCACTACACAGGCTCTTTAAATTTAATTAGCAAGGTTCTACTTAATTACTTATCTTTTGCATTAGTGCTGATAAACGCTCTGGGACACAGCAATGGGCAAATCTCATCTGAGGAATCTCACAGAAGGCTGCAGGATATCCATCCTTGGAGGTTTTCCAGGTCTGACTGGACAAAGCCCTACACAATCAGTGGGGGCTCTACTTTGAGCAGGAGATTGGACAAGAGACCTGCAGCACTCTGCCAACCTAAATGAGTCTAGATTCCATAGGAAAGTTATTTGTCTTGAAACAATGACACAAAACACACCTTCCACATTAGGGGGATAATTACACATTTGTCTCATCACTTGTGTGTCATTAAATGTATGCAAAATGGTGTAAATACGCAATAAAAAATGACAATTGGACAATTTCCATGACTTTTTAAAACACCTGATATGGTACAACATGGCCTCACTTTTAGTTCTGTTGCAAGTACTTTAAAACACTGCTCTGCACAGCATCTGTAATAATCAGATTACTACACGATCCATTAATTATTAAAATACACTTGTCTGTGTTTTAAATTACTTTTTGAAGAAAACATGTATATTCTCTTTGAATAAGTTGAAGCAAAATGTAAGTTAATATTAAATCAATAAAGTAATGAGAACCACAGTATTTCATTGCACTCAACGACCAGTATCTGAGTAGTCTAAATATTTCTAAGTCTAAATAAATAAGCCTAGGATATCTATCTCCTCACTACCAACTTTTCAAAAACCATAGTAATTCCATAACATATAACATGTAGAAAATAAAAATCCAGTTTAGACGATTTTCCTCAAATTAGGAAAACAGGTATCCTCAGAGTTGAGATCCATACTTAGAAATAATAATGTACTTTTTTTAAACTAAGCAAAAAAAAATGACATTTATATTAACTTTAATAATACCCCACAACAAAATTACTTAAAAAGTTTTTTAACACCATACATTGAAATCCATAATCTTACATAAAATAAAACTTCAGAATTTAATTATAAATATTTGGGAGGTGAGGGGGGGTTAACATAGTATTAAAGCTACCAAGTGTTAAGTCTTGAGCTCTGTAAATAACTTCACAATAAATACCTGGCTGAGGAAAGCTGGCTTGTAAATCTCAAGCATTCCAGACACTGAAATTCCATAACTGCTTACATTCCAGACCTAAAATGGGAGAGTTCCTTCAATTCTGTTTGGAAGGCAGAGCCTAGCTTACCAAGATTCGTTGTTTCATTAAGGAAACACTTTTATTTAGAGGCCTGGCACTTCAAAAGGATGTCTCTTGACACAGAGGGAAAAAAAATACTCACTTCAGATGAAATGACTTCCTCATGAGAATAACTATTTACCTCCAGTGCTAGGCAGAAAAGCAGAGGAGTTAGAATGAAGATGCATAAACTCGTCACATAAAGGTTACAGTGTATTCAAGCTGAAGTCCAATATCAAATAACAATCCTCACTTCTACAATCATTTCTCAAACAGTGTTTTAATGAAGATGGGGAAAGACCTGAACACTGAGCTTTATTCAGTGTAATCCAGATCTTGGGGGACACCAGGTACCCAGGGGCTGGCTGTTGGCACCTAGTGACAACTTGAAGGGTCAGGTTAAGTAGGCTGCTGAAATTCAATGTATTTCAATAGAAAGTACATACCTACTGTACTCAGCTCCAGGAGGAGAGTAGGGATCTGTGTTACCCAGATAGCTTTGTGAAACTCATTACAAGTTCACTTTACATAGAGCAACAGCTTCCTCATCTTTGAGGAGTTAGGCTGGTCAGTTTTAAGGGCTCAGTCCTCTGCAGACTAAGCTTTCTGGAGCTAACAAAGTGTGCAAAATTAGAAAATATTTGTGTTACTTGGGTGTTCAGAATAGTGTAAGACTAAAACACAAAAACATCTTTTTCGACCTTTGCAAAGTAAACACTGAAAACAGCTCATTCCACAGACCAGCCTTCAGTGGTTTGCATCTCAGTTTTGTGACCATGTGCCATCACTGCACTGACACAGGCATGGTGTGATGTTCACTGAGCAACTCCTGCAAGTCCTTATGGAATGTCTTATTTCCATATTGTTGTTTTTATACAGGAGCAAAGGCATTACTTCCAGCCTATATCCCAAACCACAGTACTTTCATTCTCCTACCTTAATTTGAAAGAATTTGTCTCACTTTATCCACAGAATCACAGACTGGTTGAGGTTGGAAGGGACCTTTGGAGGTCACCTGGTTCAACCCCTCTGCTCAAGCAGAGCCATCTGGAGCCAAGACCACATCCAGACATTTTTTTGAATATCTCCAAAGAGAGAGACCCTACAACCTCTTTGCACAACCTGTGCCAGTGCTCAGTCACCCTCACAAGAAAAAGATGTTCTTTTAGCTGGTGCCCATTGTCTCTTGACCTATCACCAGGAAACACTGGAAAGAGCCTGGCTCAGTTCTCTTTTGAACCTTCCTTTCAGGTATTTATTACATTGATAAGTTTTCCCCTGAGCCTTCTCTTCTCCAGGCTAAACAGTCCCAGTACTCCCAGACTTTACTCATGGGGGAGATGCATCAGTCCCTTAATCACCCTTGTGACCCTTCATTGGACTCTCTCCAGTATGTCCACGTCTCTCCAGTAACTAAGGAGCCCAAAACTGAACACTCCAGGTGTGGTGTCACCAGTCCTGAGTAGAGCAGAAGAATGACTTCCCTATTCTTCCAACTAATCCAGTAATATCTTTAGTACCACTAGAAATGGTTTTTATAATGTTACATTGTATACTTTCAATTAGAATTCAGGACCAAGTCTCTTTACAATTAAAACTGGCTGTCTAAGCATAAACACAACTCACTATTACCTTGGACAGCACCAGTTTGGATGGTCAAGAATGTAGTCATCAGCTACTCACTGCTGAGTTTTCAGGGCTCATCTACCGGCCTTTGAAACCTGGCTCTGCTACAGATTTCTCATATAACTTTAAGCAAGCCATTTTCAATGTCCTATTTGATAAGTAAGAAAAACAAGTTTGAGCCTGGTACACGCTACTAAAATATCAAACACACACCCACAGTGGCTTTAAATTACCTGACTAATCACACCAGGGCAGCAGAGGAGCTGGAGCTGTTTCTACCCACACTCACAGTGACTTCTGTTGCTACAAAGAACACCACTCAAAGGGAACTCTCCTCTTTGCTTAGAAAGCCCCACACAGTTCTTTTACCTCCATTTTAGAAGAGAAAGCTTTATGGGACTCATGGCACATGACAGAACACTTCCCTTCCTCTGACATGTCTGCAGTACTTAGTGCATTCAGGGTTTCCTGAGCACAGCATGTTCCAAAACTTCTCTCCTTAGCATTAACAGGCACAAGAGACAACCTTCCATCTTTCCCTAAGCACTGAACATAACTATAGAGAAAATCAGAGTGATACCGTTGAAAATGGCAGGGGCTGGGCAGTGGGAATGCACATTTATGAGCCTTCACTCAGATGTTTTCCTCTCAATTGTTTTGCAACAAAAATAAGGTTTTCCTACCTTGACAACTGGGGAATGATCTAAAACCAGAAAAGCATATGAGCACATGAAAAAAAAAAATGGGGGGGGAAGGCAAGGATGAGAAAAATTATGGTTATGGTTGGTGAAGGAGGACAAAAAGGAGTAAGAGAAGACTGGTAGCATAAAATTATGGCTGTAGATGATTGAAGGAAAACAGTAATTTCAGGGAGGGGGAAAAGAGAAGAAAATGGGTCCCCTGAAGAAACAAAATGCTGGGTAACATTCAGAAAGGGAGCAAGTTAGAAGCAACACGAGCACAAGAAGCTTGAAAAAAGAAGTTAAAATAGTGGCCATGAGGAAGTACAGTAGGTTAGTATAAAACAATAAAAGGTAAGGTCTGATCCATTAGGACAGTGAAGACAGAGGAGTAAATGTTAGAGGCTGGAATGCAAGACACACTGAAAACGGGAGCCAGATACCAGAGAAAGGAGTAGAAAAAAGATTAGTTATCATTAGTATTAGAAAACTGATAAATCAAACCAATCAGATTTTACTAGATGGAACATCAGCAGATCCTTTAAATACTTTGTAATATTGTTTACAGCTTAATCAAATAGAAGTATCAGTATATTGGCAGGATATATGTTTAGAGTTGACCAAAATTCACAAATCATTTTTAATTGCTTTAAAATTCACTAAATCATTTTTGCAGTGTACTCTAAGTCCTATTCCAAAATGTACAGTCACGTGCATTATGTGTTTAAAAATATTTACAAGACTTTTGTGCAAAACAAACTGAAAATATTACTAATCATTTCTGTTGACAATTAAGATTTTGCAGTGTACTCTAAGTCCTATTCCAAAATGTACAGTCACGTGCATTATGTGTTTAAAAATATTTACAAGACTTACTGGCTGCTGCAGAACTGGCAGATGCAGCAGCTTGTGTGTTAGCAGTAGCATCTTTACTGTATGATTTACTGTGACAGCCTTAAAGCTTTTGAGATTCCATTTCTTCCACACCCATTTCCTTGGTTTTAGATCTGAAAAGAAAAAACTTAATTTAGAAAAAGGTTTATGTTAATTTTGAAAATCACCCTATGAAATATTCCCAAATGAAATTAAAATTGCTTTATTTCCTGCCTAAAATGGGCAAATTTTTATGCCCACGGTCAACTTTCAGGCATGGGTTCCAAGCCTGTTAACTGAAATAATTATATTCATATAGTTAAAGTTAACCAGAACAGTTTTTGCTATCTCCCTTCTGCTTCTGCTTGGTTTTGCACATGGCTGAGTATCCTTACTTTGTGGTTGTTCCAATTCTGGTAATTCAATACATTTGCATATGTTTTGTTGAGGTTGTGAATTATTCTCACAGCAATACTTAATTGACTTTATTCCTTGGTTTTCAGTATTCATTCCACTAGAATTTTACACAGCTCCCACACCATAAGTCTCATGCAGATACAGAATTTCTGCCATAGCAGTGATCTCCCAGAGTCGTGGGATTTTTTCTGGTCTGACTAAATTTCAGTTAAATCTGTCCATTATCTATTTATAGTGGTTACACATTACAGAGAATACTGTGGGCTTACCCAGCTCTTCCAAGTTAAAGACCCATTAGGACTTTGGAGCATATGTAACTTTGATGTGTGTAAACCTTCTCTAAATTAAATTTTCAGGGTGATCTTTTTCTACATACAATTTTCTGTCTGTAACTAAAAAGAAAATTCTGCCCAACAAACAGTGACTGACAGAGAGAAAGGTTTCGAGAAAAATATTTCTGTATTTTATGTCTACTTCAAAAACATATTTCTATTGCATTTGTCAATCAGCTTCAACATACAAGATAATGAAATCCACATTGTCATGAAATCTAAATAAATGAGCAGTAAAGATAGAAATCTGCTCTAAATCTAAGTTTTGGAATGGATATCAAATGACATATGCAATCTAAAAATCATAAACTTTTACTGTCAAAACATGCAGATATTTAATGGTAATATAATACTACTTCCAGTAGAAATTTCTAGGACAGGTACAGTCTGAATCCTGTAAGGATATTTATAAAAAGTGGTCATTTTTTATAGAGAGACACCTTCAGGGCAACCTACAAATAGCTGTTTTTGCCAAAAACATTTTGAGATGTTTGATCCAGTTTTATTTTTCTTAAAGAGAAATAAAGCCATGGATAGTCAGCTCAGATTCCCTTCCAGGTTATGGTTTAAACTATTTATCCATATTTATATACCAACAACTAGTATTAAGAAATCATAATCATCATTATTACTGAGCTGAGAAAGCCAGTTTTGACAATAGTACTGCTAGTTCTGAATTTTCTCTGTGTGTACATATGTACACAATTACCAGGGGAAAAAGCAATAGATTCTCATTGAAATGCAGACCTGGTAGAAGGAAAAAAAAACTACTAATACCTGATAGCCACTGAAAAACTAAGTCTGCCAATGCTTCCTTAAAATCATCATCAAAACATTTAATAGATTCAGGAAATACTTCACAGAAAGCAACATAAATGACTTGCAACGAGCAATCAGGATATACCTGACAAAATAACTGCATCCAAAAAGTCTACAAAAGAGATTTTGATATTACAATTTTTTTACTTAATGTAAAAATGTTCAAGTGAACTGTAGCAGTTGCAAAGACCTTCTGCCAAAGAAAAAAAAAGTATAACCTTTTGTTATTTGTGTGAGACATTAGGTAACTTTACAAACAAGAGGGGAATTCACTTCTCAAAAACTTACTTTATCAATGTAAAAGTCAAAGTTCCCAGTTATGCCTGAATTGGAGGATGCTGATTTCAACAAATTACATAGTTTCAACAAGTCCTTAGGGTTAAAATTAGGATGCAGAATAAGTAATATTTGTTAATATTTAACTAATTATTATATTTAATGAAAATCAAGTAATTCTTAAAAGAACCTAATTTAATATTATAATTTAATTTTATTATTCACACATTATATGAGCCCCAAAAAGATCCCTTTACTGACTGCTCATGATAATTTCTAGCTTTTCCTCACCAGTTCTGGTTGCTCTCTCTGGTTCCTAAATGCATGTGCTTCCAGCTCTCTTCTGCAGCCAAAAGCTGCCAGTCTGGAGGCATGTAAATTGGCTCAAGTGTCATGTTAATACTTTTGTGAGCTGAAATGCAGCATCTACCCATATACCACTGAAAATGCTACTTGTACTCTTACCTGAGAAAAAGCATCTTTAGCATCCCCAGGAACAAGTAGAAAATATGCCACAAAATATTGCAATTCTGTCAAACAAGGGGTCCTGGTCAGGCTTCAAAGGGGGGAAAATCAGGACAAAGGTCTCAGCCCAAATTCAGCTGTAGCTGTGTGCTGAGTGCTGCACAGCATTACTAAAGCTCATGCTTATGTACCCTGTGAGGAGAGGCTTTGACAACACAAAGGAATAGCACTGACACACATATTTGTGTTCCATCTCTTACTTCAATATGTTGTTCCTCTAAATGTTTAATTTTTTTGAGTATATTGCAGTAGTTCCTGATTCAGAATAGCACTTAAAAACACTCATTATTTGAAGCATATGTTAAGTTTATCAGCCAACAATTAAGACAGAATCTAAGTGATGTGCTGAATCAAAGCCAGTGGACATCACCACAGTGTCCTGCCACAGCAATATTTTCCTTCTCTTCTTAATAAAGAACATAGGGATCACCTGAGGTAACAGAACCCATACACTTTTCATTTATTCTCTTAACCTAAATATTCCAAACTCATACCTTTTATAAATTTTAGCACCACTACACAAAGTAAGCAAAGTAAAACAGACAGACAGTTTCATCTAAAAGTTTGTTTTAAGCTTCATGATAAAAAGCTGCTAACTAAACTAGTTCTTCATATGTTCCACTACAGCTCTTTAAAGTTACATGAAAAGTTAATCTTGGGTCTCCAGCTGATGCAGTTGGGCTTCATTAGTAAAACACCTGCAGTTTTGTACTTGGGGAATATGCAGCTTATTTGATAATAACAGATCTAAGAATACTTGAATTTAATTTATATATTAAACTTTGGCAGAAACCACGATCAAGAAGAACCCTGAAACACTGCAATAGATTATTTTGAGAGAGAGAAACGTCTCCAAACTTTGAGAACAATTTTCTGTCAAAACAACAAAAGAATATTTGAGATGCTGAATGAAGGGATTTAAAAAATCCTAAACCCATAAAGCAAATCAAAACTAGACGGAGGTAAAAGGTATAAGGATTTTAATTTGAAACACAATCCACAAGCACAGAGGAACTTCTTTCAGTTTGTAAAAATACTGATGGGAAAAAACCTGCAGGGGAAATGCTTGGCTTTTACTGAGAAGAGCAAAAGAGCTTCTTTGGGTATTTCAACATTAGGTTGTCAAAATACAGGGACTGATGTGAATATGCCAGGTACCTGCAAAGCTCTCAGTCTTTTACTGGTTTTTGTTTTGGTTTGTTTTTAATTTTCCATAAACAAAGAAAAGTCGACAAAGAAAGTCGAAACATCTAAAGTTTAAAACACAGAAAGGAAGGTACAGAAAATTAGTGAGGCATCAAGTCACACCTGCGACATTAAATTTACTACGTAATAAAAAATACGTAAGAAAATGTTGTAAATAACAACAATGACAAAGAAGAGGAAGACACTGGACTAGCATTTCCTTCTACTTTAGGAGGCAAGAACTGAGTCTAAGCTGTCCCAGAACTGTGCCAAGAAGTGCCAATAGGATGTTAATATTTCTTGCATCTTGCTTTTCTGGGTATATTTGCACCTATTTAAGCACAAATAAACAAAAATTTTTAATCAGTCCTCCAAAGGTGTGTGGCATTTCAGAAAGCAGCATCAGCTTCTGGCAGTGTATTATAAATATCTCTAACAGGAAGAGCTGTAGATTATAAACTCATATAAAATTTTTATCCAGTGCAAGTAATAAGATCTCCAGCCATTCTTTGGATGTCAAGGCATTAGGCTTTGCTTAAAAAAAAAAAAAAGACATTTTATATTTTGTAGGACTAGTGATTACTTTTGTACATTGTCAACTTCAACTAACATGCTTCCCTGTGTGTGTTTTTAACACTTTTTCTCAAAAATCTTGCATTGTGCACATGTTTTGTGGCAAGTGCTATCAACAGGTCACTCTTTAGACACAGAGTTTATCAAGGCTGCTCAAGAATCTGAATTTTAAATCTCTCCTTCACTCTGCACAACTTGTTTTTATCAGCTTGACAGTATTTGGACTTGGATAAATGACAGGAATTAGGTTTCCTTCATTTATAAATGTGAAGCAGTCAAAATTCACTCAGAATATTTACAATATTCTTCAGTCTGATCAGGTAGTAACTATCTTAAAATAGATTGTGACATTCAGCCAGTGCAATACTAATTAATGACAGGTTAATGTGCAAAAAATTATTTTTATTAATAATAACAACTTAATACGCAAAATGGGTCAAAAGTCAGGATTGCAGACTATGACTTCTTACTTGCCTGCAAGGGAAGTAACTAAAGTATTTAAAGCCATACCTACCTAATTCCCACCAAAGTGAGTAAAAGATAAAACCAGAGAGGTCAGGGTTGCAATAACACTCTAAACTGCTGTTTACAATTTTTGTGGCTGAGTCAGTCATCATATTTACACAGTGTTTAGAATTTCCATTACCCAATATATCTGAATTCATGTAGCCTTAGAAAAATTGACTGATTCAGTTTGGTGTCGGAGATATTTCTTCAACTTCCAAGTCAAACCATAGTCATTAGACAGAATCCTGTGTACCTTTTTACATGTAAGGCAAAAAAAAATCACCTATATATTCCTAACTAATACTCAGTTCATAATTAATGTTATTTCACACAATGATATAAACAATATTTTCAGGTAATTCATACTATGAACTGTGAAGGTACTTCAGATAAGGAGCACTGGTCTAAAACTGATACTTCAGGTGACTACAGATACCTTTGGAGATATAAAGAAATAAAAAGGACTTTTTCAAGTCCTTTTTTTTTCCTCCTCCAACAAACATACAGAGAGAGGTGTAATCCCATTTCTGGATCCAATAAAAAAAAAAGTGAAAATTTAATCTTTCTTGTTTTATCCATAAAAAGAATTAAAAATATGTAACACTCCTGTGCTTTCCCCATCTCACTCATCTGAGTCAGAATTTCCTCTGCAGCAATTTGCTCTGTAACGTCTTAAAAAAATTAGCAAGGTTTAGGTAGAAATAGAGGCTGGATTGATAATTTTATTGATTAAAAGTTCTAATCAGGCAAAGACTTTACACATATCTGGATCTACATCTAAATGTGTCTGCACACAAAACTTATCACACTGTACAGTGCTGCTGCATCACTGGAATGATTGGAAGGCTTAAAAATCACCATTTTGATCTTTCTATATGACTCATCTTTCCTTCATAACGCCAAGAGCTGTGGAGAACAACGTTTGCACGGACTTTTGCCTGCACTTTATTTAGGCCTGAAGAAAAATGCTCCTAAAACCCAGGCAGAACTGGGACTTTGGCTTATTAGACTTTTTTAAATTATAAACTTGACTCTTACAACCTGAGGGAAAGCTGTAAACACTTATCTGGGCCAATGTCTTTCGGGTACTCTTTTCAAGGATGTTCCTCTAGATGAGCTGGGCCACTGTAATGAAAATACTTTTTCAGCATAATTCTCTAGTTCAGTGACATGGGTCAAATCTGAGAGTGGACTGATGTTCAGTGGAACACGTTCATACACACATTTACATATGACACTGAAGGAATAATCTTTTTGTAGCTTACCCACCAAAGAGAAAGGTTCATCGAGAGAGAGACAACTCAGCCAATCCTTCTGCAGTCAGTCCATTGGAAAAACAGTTATTTCTGAAAATTACACAAATGCAAAGATTAAGTAATCTGTGAACTCTATTTTGCATAAAGAATTGTAATAGGAGTGTAAATGCATATAACATCTAAGAATCTCTAATTTTGGCACCACTGTAAGGAGACTGTGATTTCCTCCTGTCCCACGTACTGCGTTCAGAGGTGATTACATCATCTCCAGGAGACAGAACAACTGAAATAGGCCAGGGAGGCCCATTAGAGCAGACACAGAGTAATTAAAAAGACTATAACGTTTTAGTTAGACAAGGAGATAACTCAAGAAAAAAGGGTCATTATGTTTCTAAAGAGACAAATAAAATCATGTGCAATTTAAGTTCTCAGAAAGGCCAGTAATGCCTTCCATCTGTTGAGCACAGCTTTGGAAGCACAGGAGGAAAGTCTGTTCCTTGATCTAGCACAGAATTCAAACAAGCAGCCCAAACATTTGAGCAAATTGTGGAAACCAAAGGTAGTTGTTTGAAGTTAACCATCAAATTGATCACTTTCCTGAAATAACTTAGTAAGTGTTAATACAGAGTAATTCATGTGTTTTTAAGCCCTCTGGTAGAGCTGAAAGACATCAACATGTTCTATCTTAATAGCAGGGCAGCAAGACAAATTATTTCTTTAAAAAAAAAATCAGTGAAATGCTATTCAATGTAAGGAAGCTATTGATACATACATGTTCATTCTGTGATTCTGTGACTTCAGGGTAAAAAGGAAAAAGGCAATAATAGCAATTAGAAATTTAAAAAAATTAATATTTTGTTCTTACATTATCCCTAATTAAATATTTCCATTTTTATGGAAATATTTTTTTATGTCAAGTTGCTCTTTATACTGGAATGTTCCACCCACCAAAATATTTTCACACATTTTTTGTTTCTTTGTTCCAGTGAGAGAAGTAGTTCTGGGTCAAAGCAAAATGCGAAAAATATGTAAGGGCACTTAAATCAGAAAGGTAGAACCTCCATTTCCTTTGCAGTACCTCCATAACATTTATACTCTTATTATTTATGCACTTCTAAAATACACACTGAAGAAAAAGCAACAAATCTGGCACTGTTCTTACAGATTTAGTTTTTAGTTTAGAAGTGGGAAGCAACAGGAGAGTTTCAGATTAGCCAAAGTGTTCACTGAAATCAATCAACTGGTATCTTCTGAGTTCAGTATAATTAAAAAATCAAACTTTAGAGTTGCAACTGAGTAGAAATCAAGCGTGAGGAATTCTGGTTTGGAAAAGATAATATTTTTTAGTATATTCTGAAATTAAGAGCCCCAAACAAAAGTGATACAGCATCCATTCCTAAAATATTATTTCAGTATTGCAGTTTTTGGGTAAATAACTGTATAGAATAAAAGTATACAAAGGAGTAAGTCAGCTTTCAGAGCCTGATTTTAAATTATGAGGAAGCTCAGTTTATTCCCAAACAAGTTCTGCACTAAGCACCCAAAGAAATAATTCAAAGAGATGGTAAACTTAGCAAAACCTACTAAAATTAAGTTTCTCAAGAAAGAGTTTTAGAAACCATTATAAAAGTCTTTTTTTGTCTAATAAACATTTTTATTTTGACATCATTAACTACTGAACATCACAAGGTATTGTCACAGCATAAGGTAGTAAAAAATATGGATGGAGAAATGTAGCTCTTTTTCCCTACTACTGCAATGTGTGACATGCTGCAAGCATGAAGAACTGATCAAGTCAAAACAAAACAAGTAATAACAGAATGCTGGTAGGCATTCTCTGCCACTGGATGTAATACCACTGAAGTCAGTGAGGTTTTTGGGGTGTAACTGAGATCAAAGTTTGGCATAAAATCTGCCTATAATGTCAACTTTTCCCCCTAAAGTTACTGCAACTAATACATCACAGACTTCATTTCACTGAGAGAAATATTCTCTATACCAAAATTACTGTTTTAGTTTAGTCACTTCAACCTAAAAATGCAGTTACTAAAGACTGAATATTGGGTAAATGCTACTGTGGGGCAGCATCCTCAACCGGGCCAAGGAATTTCACAGAGCAGATCCCATGTCCTCTTTGGAGAGAGAGATGCAGAACCAGCACCAGGCACTCGGTATGCTGTAAGTATACTACTAGGTGGAGGAAAAATACAGGTAAAGAAAAATCCAACTGATCCAGCTTTCCAGGAGTTGCCAAGGCAGTGACACAAAGCCGCAGCCTCCCGCCCCAGCGGTTTCCAGGCGGTCCCAGGCGGTGCCGCCTCACGGCGGGGGCAGCGCTGGGCACATGTTACAGGGCGGGAAACACTTGGCACGGACCCCGCTGGGAAGGGCGGGTTTGCCCCCGCTCCCCGCGAACTGTGTGTGTGGTTTCTGGTCAGGTTTTTGCGACACAACACGTCGAAAAAAATCCCATTCCGGGCGGGAGGCTCCGAACAAACACAAACCCCCGGACAGAGACGGCAGCCGCTCTCAGCCCCGGGCTGCTTCCGCTCCCCGCCTCCCGCCGAGGCAGAGCTCGGCACTTTCGTTCCGGGGCCTGCGAGGGCCGCGGCGGAGCAAAGCCGGGAGGCGGGTGAGGAAGGGCTGCAGCCGGGCAGAGGATGAGGAGAGGAGCGGGGCGGAGGGCAGGACGGAGGAGGCAGCGCTGAGGGGCCGCGCTGTGCGCGGGCGGGCTCGGGCGGCCCGCGGGGGGAAGCGGCTCTGCGGCCGCGGGGCCTGCGGGGCAGGGGCCGCTCGGACGTGCCCGACCGGCGGGAGCGCTTTGTTATTCCCGTGGGAGATCCCCGCCCCGAGGTCTGTGCCCTCCGCTGCCCTCAGCCCGCGGTGCTGTGGCCGCTGCGCTCACCTCAGGGAGCAGCAGCAGCAGGGCACGGCGCTGGGGAGCTCATGGCACCCCACACACCCCCAGAGCTTCACACAACCCCCGAGGTGTCCGGACCGGGGTCCGGAGTTGCCCGGGAGTTGCAGTTGGAATGTGGAGAGAACCCTCCAGCAGCAGCGATTTATCCGGGGTTTGGAGATCAGGTGTAGATGGAGTTATTTACAGCCTTAAAAGTATGTCTGAAGTGAGATTTGGGTCTTACAAGTTGCATGAACTCTGTTGCTGTCGTTTTCTGCAAAGAATACCGTATGAACACAGCTGAACGTGGGCACAGCTCTTACTGTGAGGCCGCAGCAGATCCCCTGTCAGTATCGGTAACAAAAGTGCTTCGAGGTGTCACCGTTGAGCACCACAGAGCGTAAGACATTATGCACTGAAAAGAATCGGTTTGCAGGCTGGGAATGCATGTCCAATTCCAGGGCCTCTCGCCCTCTCTGCTGCTTGAGGAAACTTGATAATAGTGTGGCTTGGTCTGAGATGTAATGTATATTTGCTTTATCTCAGAGATCATTGAAAGCAAATTGCAGTATAAATTTTGTGTGCATGTTAGATTTCGTGTTTATTTGAATGGACGTCCCTGACCTTTCAGAAGTTAGACTTTGTCAGAAGGAGAGGGGACGGTATCAGAGCATACATGAGTATCTAATTTTACCAGACAATAACAATTTTTTCTGGCATTAATTTTAATTTTTTATTGGAAAGCTAGCTGAGTTTTTTTGTTTTATTATTTTTCAATTAAATTACACTTGATTTTATTTAAACACTTAATTTTGGATCACATCTCAGGAATTATTGTTTGTTTGTTTTTGTTAAACATGACTGGTTTGTGACATCATTTCGTAAGTGTGATCCCTGACATGAAAAAGTAAACCTAAATTAGCTGAAAGTAAATACTGAGAATTACTTTTTTTCATTTCCAGTGATGCAGCACAAAGTGCTAAAGGCAGTTTGTAACTACTGCAGGCTGTGCAGGCTGCTGACTGGGGGCTGCTTTGAAGATCAGAGAGGACCCTGAGTGATCTGTCAGAAGGGCTTTACTAAAGCCTGGAGTGACTCTGAGCCTGAGCTCACAGAGCACTAATTCTGTCTGCACTGGCTGTGGGCACATGGTCCTGGTTCTGATGCACCGCTCAGAGTACACGGGGAAACTTCTGCACCAGCTGCAGAGGGTGAGACAACACCTGTGTGGAAGAAAGCCTGGAAAAAACCCACCAATGGTACTAAATAAATACAAACTTGCAGAACAAATCTAGGCTGGGTCAGCACTTCCTATCTGGTACATGGAGCACCAAAGCCCTGTTCTGGCTCTTCTAATTTTTCAGCCTCAAGCTTTGCTCTTGGAAAATTTCTTCTATCTCACAAAGTTCTGCCCAGGAGGGATTTCATTCAGGGTGTTTGGTTGGCCCACACAATAAGTTTCAGGATAGAGATCTAAATTTGTACAATTAACTTTTCTCTTATGGATTTCTATCCCCTAGGCATGTATTTCATTGTTGGTAGTCATACTGAAGACTAATGGGATTGCTCATCCAGGTAAACACTGTTTAGCAGTGTTTTCATAAACTTTTAGTCTCTGATCCTAACAACAGAAAAAAATATATTTCTGCAGGAATTGAGTGGGATAACTTAGTAAAGTTATGAACGTGCCTATATGTGCATTAAAGAGGCAAATCTCAGATTCTTTCCAGCTGTTTGTCTCATGCCCTCCTGAAATCTCTTTGGAGTTCTTGGTGCTATAATAACTGAATCAGATGATTTTATTACTCCTTCTGCTGTAGGAAATACCTTCTCTGATGAGTATTTTTTTGTTAAATAGGATAATACAGAATAATTTTCAATAAATTAATTCATAGTAACTGGATTTTTATTTAACATCATATTGTGTGTTTCAGCTAACCATGTCTTTGGGTTCATCTACACAAGGACCAAAAAGAAGTACTGAGTGTTTGGAAAGCCAAGAACTGCAGACTCCATCATCATTTCAAGATAACCCTCTTCAGCAATTACAGTTAGCATCCCAGGAAGTGCTGGAAAAGGCAAAAAAGAGTGGCAGATCAAAATGCCCCCGATGCAGTAGTTCAAGGATGTTTTATTGTTATACATGCTTTGTTCCTGTTGAAACTGTCCCTACCAAAGAAATTCCAACTGTGAAGGTTAATATATCTAATGGATTTTTTATAATATTCTTGTGTCTTTTAGTTACTGTGGACAGAGAATAATCTGTCTGCAACCATTTCTTTTCTGACTTACTCTTTATGGACGTTCATCTTTAACCCAGCTTAAGTATGAATAAACTACAGTTAGATAAAATTATTGTTCTTATTTGAGGAATTGCATGTAGAAATACTGAAAATGGTCCAGCCCTCACATAAACACTCATGTATCTACTAGATGAGAATACAAGCTGAAGTCACTCAGCTTCTCATTCAGCCAGGTAGTTCTTGGAAGTTTCTTTACAGTGCTCTTCCTCATTCTTCAGTTTCTCATAACTCTGACCAGAACAGATTGTATTGTGAACAAAAAATATGATTTGTCCATAACCAAGAGTGAATTTTACATAAAATGTGAGCTAAAAGGCATTCCTAAATGTCATAGTTATACAATTCAGATAACCACTCTCAAAGTATAAATAAATAGGGTAGTGCCCTTCAGCTAAAATACTTGCAAGAACCACAAAGAGGACTGAGACGTTTTGCAAAATCAGCTGGGAACTAAGATGCATTTTGAAGGTACAAGATTGAAAGCACTGTGAAAATACTTTAGAAGTACTTTGGAAATTTGACCTATTAGATTTAGGTGTATTTTCATTGAAATGGCCATTTTTGCAATTGGATGAATACCTAATAGAGATAAGTATTCATATTTAGAATCATTACATTGCTCAAATTAAGACCCCATCTGACTTACCTTATTGATTCTGTTTCTAGAGATTGTGCCATGCTTCTTCTCAAGTATTTCCAAAAACTGAATGTAAAAGATGCCTCTTGTCACTTGTCTCTTCTTTAGTTCCAAGCCTGTTAAAACAAAAATATTATCCAAAATTGTCAGATATGTTTTAATTACACACCCATAGGGATTTCTCCTGAATTTTGCATAAGATTTGTACAAATGTTTATACCTCTATATATGATCATAAATATTTTCCTTTTTTATTTTTTTAACTCCAGTTACCTTTGAAGATTGACATTATCAAGCACCCAAATGAAACAGATGGCAAGAGCACTGCTGTGCATGCAAAGCTCCTGGCACCTGATGATGTTACAATTTATAAATACCCTTGCATTCCAGAATATGAAGAAAAGAGACATGAAGTAAGAAAACTGTAGCACTATCTAATCACCTTGAATTTCCTTTGTTCACCACCTTACATAAGTGGATTCATTGTGTACCATAAGAAATATTTTGCCCACGTATGAACGTGCAGTAAGTTAAACAGCAGTTTGTTAAAGAGCACAACAGTGTTGTGCTCATCATATTCAGCAGCTGCAGTACTTAAACTTTGAATTAACATGTTTTTAACATAAATTTAACATTGCATTAGAAAATAGAATATTATTTACGAGATACTTTTGAATTTTGTCCTGACTTAAATGTTTTATAAAATTTATAAAATTTCTGTTCTTTAATGGAAGAATTCTTTTTTAGATTCTTTTTATTATTCTAATTCTTTTTATTAGATTTTGTTGACATTCAGATCTCTCTCTTCTTTTCATTCAGATAGCACTTATATTTCCTGGCCCCAATTCGGTTTCAGTAAAAGATATTGCTTTCCATCTCCAAAAGTACACTAAAAAAGGCGTCTGTAATAGTGATGATGACTGTTCCAAAGAACCAGTTCTTAAGCAAGCAAAAATAGAACCTGAAGAAGAGAAAAGTCCAAACGAATGCATCCCAAGCAGCAGGAATGAAGGCACTGGACTGAAGAAAATAATATTTATTGACAGTACCTGGAACCAAACCAACAAGATAATAACTGATGAACGACTTCAAGGTAAAAAATACAAGTTGATATTGAGATGTTATTGCTGCAGAAATGTTTAAGGGACATATATCTATAACAGACCTGAGCATGGTATAAGTGTATATCTACCCCTATAGGTACATGAAAGACTTGACAGCCTGTTTCAGGGCTGTAAATACTTCCTGAGCCAAAGACTCCATTACTTTCCATGTCATATCATTTGTTTTGCAAAATGATAATACTGAAGAAAGCATTTACATTTATTTCTCTCACTTCTCTATTGGAACAAATCTTCTCTCACAGAATGGAAGCTCTCGTGTTAAGACAGTAGAACAGTAGTTTGAGTTATCTCTGAAGAAAGTCAAAAAGGATTCCTTTGCAGGTGGTTCTCTGCTTTTTCAGGAGACCCAGGGGAGCGTTTTTGTACACAGTGGTGGCAGACAGGCCACTGAAAGGTGAATGAGGGATTTAGGAGACACAGCACAGGCATGTCATGGCTTGGGTTCTCTTTCTAGTGAAGTTGTTCCATTTTGATGATCTCACTACTTTCCAGACTAAAAGGGAATTCCTGCTGGCCCTTTGTACCCTCGCAACTCTGAAAGCAGAAACTGGTAACTCTGCAGAAGTTTTTTGTCTTAGGTTCATTACAAGAAGTTTACATTTAAGAATTCTAATTAAATCCACAAAAGGCAAAACAATTTAGCAATAGCATTCCATTTCCTTGGAGATGAATAGGAGTTTGAAAACACTTTCATTAGTGGAAAAGGTGCACTTAGCTGGGAGGCAGCCTGTCAAGTTTATATGCAATATATATAACTACTGGTGCCTGCTTTACACTGGATCCTACAAGGAATTTCACAGACTGTCTTCCATGGAAGATGAATGTTGTCTTGCTGTCTAGTCAGTTTATTAAAGAATCCCACATGTTAGTATAATGTATTGGCTAATTAAAATCCCGTTACAATTATTTAGTTTAACACAAAACATGCTCTATCAACTACATTGAAGTATTACTGTAACAATTAGAGTAATTGCATGTTGCAAGTTTCTGTAAAGCATTTGGAACTTATTTTGAGAGGATGAATTCAAGAAAAGTAACAGGCAGCCAGGGGAACTGAAGATTTCCATGGAAGCTTATGCAGTGTTTCAGTAAAAAAGTCATAATTGGTGTTCCTTTGGAGCTCTCAAAGGATGGTTTCCAGTTCCCCAATGACAGTGCTGATCTGGTGGACTCTTCCCACCTTTTTAGAACATCATCTTGGATCCAGCTGTTTTCCAGTCCTCTGTTTCCCTGAGCACCTTTCAGGATTGCTGTAAGGTTTGATAGTGTCATGGAAGTCAGTTTTTTTCTTATAGGGAGAATTTTACCCCTCCTGCATCAGGTGTAAGAGTTGCACACGTTGCTTTCCTTAGTGCCCCTCATACAGAACATAAATTGCATTATCACTTCTTTTAGAGATTACAGGTCTGACTTCCAAGATGAACAAGGCAGTTTTCTGAGGCATAAACTGATGACATTTTTATGCTGTACACACATGGAAAATAGAGAACTGTTGTCATTTTTCAGTTCAATTGCAAATGAAGTCATCATCCAACAAAATATTCCTGGTATATTAAAGTTCAAAAAGAAGTGATCGTAATTCCAAATAAGTAATTGCCGTACTTATTCAGAAAGATTAAGTTACAAGAAATACTGGATGGAAACATTAATGAAGCCAAGAAAATTTAAAGAAAAAACTTGTGTTTTGTAACCTTGTATTTATATAGAGAGTAAATCTAGCAAATTGTACTGCAAGAGAAAGCAAGTGAGTACATCAATCTTTTAAAAAAAGAGCCTTGAGAACTTGGACAAAAAAAGTACTTCTATATCTTCTTGTAAAAGTGGTGTAATATATCTTTAGAAAGCAAAACTAAATCAGTTGTGTTAAAGACAGGAAATATTTGAAAGTTGGTAATGTCTAGGATTGATTACTTCATTAAAGTGGTCTCTAGATCAGAAAGTAAACAGTTCAATCTAATGTTAATAATTACTTTCTCACATGAGTGATGGAGCTTATTGGCAACATCAACATGGTTGTTAAAGAAACAAATTACTTTGATATTTTTTCCTGTAAATTTGATCCACTTTGTATTAGCCAAATATTTTATTAGCTTATACATTAGTATTGTAAGCTTTCATATTTGTAATAAAACATTGCCTTTGGCTCAGTAAACTCTAACCCTTAACTCCCTCTGTTTTTATTTTTATAAAAAACTACTAAAATTTTTTGTTTGAAATGAGCTGATCCTGCAGTTGTGGTAAGCTCAGTAGTGTCCATGGTCTTGCCTTCAATGAACTTTTGGTTGTATTCAAACCACACCTATGTGAGAGTTTATTTTGGAGGAATCTTCCCCTGGATTTACTTCACTGCTGTTCAGGTGGAAGTGTCTCTGAATTTGATGGAACTTTTCACTTTGGTTATGGCTGAGAATTCAGGTGTTGAAAACTTGTGAGGGAAACAAGCTCAGTGCAGTTTCCTACTGCTGTTTTAACTTTCACATGTATAGAATTATTAGAGGTAATAATTAGCCTGTTGTTTTGAGTTTTTGTTTCCAAAATGCCAACAATAACATTTAAATTGAAGGACAGAATCTTCTGGTGTTCAGGTTTTTTTAAAACACTGTAGTAGAGACTTGTTTTACTATGCAGGGTATCATACATTGCTAACTGCAAAGCAAACAGCTAAATGCAGCTTGTAGTTACACTGGAAAGAATTAACCATAGTTGGAAGGTAAAAAGTATAGGATTACAAGTGCTGGGCTATAGCCCAGTTTGTGCTCCTGAATTTGGACCCTACTGAAGCTTCTCTGTCCATCACTTCCAAGCAATTCTTAGACCATATTGTTATTTGTACTATTACTTGTGCTAAACCATCTCATGTGAACAATATCAGATTTTGACATTTAGAAAAAGGTAACTTTACAACCTGCTCCTGATATTATTGACAGGTGTATACACTGTTCTTTATAATCCAACTGTCCATCCTGTTTACAAAGCTATTACACATTAAGGAGGCTTTAGTTTTGAATAGTTTGTGCATCTTAAGGAACATAACAACCAAGATACACACTTAAAATTCATCTGTATAATAGAACAGTTACAGAGACTGTGGTAGATAAAAGATTTTCATGTGCCATACAGACACCAAGTTCCTTCTTTCATCTCAAGTGGGAATGCTTTTAGTTTCTAATAAAGTTAATTACCAGATTCTGTCATACTTACTCCTGAGTAATCTCAGTGAGATTTCAGTTACTTAACAAGCATAAATGAAAAGTTTCTGGCTTTTGCAAATAGTCCTCAGTCAGGAACACTAACAGTCTGAAGGATTCTGTTTTACACTTGAAAGTGATTAACTTTGCAAAAGATGAAGTAATAATTTTAAGAACCTTGATGAGTCTTGGTAGGTGTGGGTTTCACTCTTGCCATCTGAAGAGACCCTGCAGTTTACTGAGGGTTGTGAGGCTGTTGAAATGAAAGGATAACCTGTAATTAATTGTAAATATGAGGATTGTATCCTTGTACTTACAGCATTTTTTCATCAAATTTCATAGTGGGCCACAAAGAAGGATAAAATTATTGCCTCAGGTTTACAGATGAAAAATGGAGGTACAGGAAGAGAAATGATTTGCATGCAGGCAGCCAGCAGGGCAGCAGCACAGCTAGAAAACAAAACTAAAGTCTTGTTTGGCATCCTGGCCACCAGTCCTCATTGTCTAATCTGTGTCATCTTTTTGTCACGACAGGGTTGCTACAAATTGAGTTGAAGACAAGGAAAACTTGTTTTTGGCGTCATCAGAAGGGAAAGCCAGACACATACCTCTCCACAATAGAAGCCATTTATTATTTCCTTGTGGACTATCATCAGGAAGTTTTGAAAGAGAACTACAAAGGACAATACGATAACCTGCTTTTTTTCTTTTCATTTATGTACACATTGATTAAAAATGCCAAGTGTTGTGCAGGAAAAGAATAAGATGTCTGTCTATAGGTGCATGACACAACTTTTTTTTGTAGTGATAAACTGCACAGACATAACTAGTTTTGTCTGACTGAAATCTGGAAATAGATTGTACAATGGCTACAGTGTTTGTCCAGAAGTAACCTGCAGACCTCACCCTTCACACCTGAGGTTGTAGAACTACTCAGAGGAGCACTCTAGTCAGAGTTACTTTTTTTGAAAACCGTTACACTTTGCTAAATCTTGCTGGATTTCATCCCACAGGTGTGATGTGCTCACTGTGATGAGCACCGTTCCTGAGGTGGGGATAGCAGGACTCGCCATAAGGAGTGATCCCTCCAGCTGTAAAAATGAATTAACTTGCTAGCTTTTTATCATTACTAATAGTTCATGTCAGGTGTTTTCTTTTTGTTTTACACAGTAATAAGGATTTCACTCTCATGACATCAAAAGCTTACAGAAATTAATAGGGTGGTATTTAATTGAGGAGAGTTGCACCAATACAAAATGAAAGAGCACATTAATTGAATACAAATTCTGTACTTTCAAAATTAAGTCTGGAAAATTATTCTAGTAATAAAAAAGTGATCTCTTTAAATACACAGTGTATGATTTCTGTAGTACCATTCACATACTGTTGTATTAAGGTTATTCTCAACTTCTTGGACAATTTTAGATTTCTTCAAACAAATTTATTTAAGTGTTTATTACTATTACATAATATTATTCTGGGGAACACTAACTTAATGAATGTCACTATGGCATATTGTAAACAGTAACATTTTGTAGGTGCTACATGCTTATATTTGAAGCAGCAGAATGGGCTCATTGCACTGCAGGAGCTGTCTGAAAATGTAGATCTTTTTGGAGGACTCCAAGTAATTTGCAGTGACGAGAAACAGAGAAGATGGTGATTCTGACCACAACATTTCTGACAAGGCTTCCTTAAATTAGACAGACTGTGAATCTGCTGTTTTTTCTTTTGCAGTAATTGTGTAAATGTGAACAGCACAAGTGAGAATTTCTCTGTGCTGATGAAAGTTTGCTGGTAGGTGTGGCACTGCTGTCACAGTGGGAATGTGATATTTTATCATGTTTTACTGTACAGCCCATGCTGGCAGAGGCAACAGACCTGAGCAAGTACCTTACCAGCAGAGTTACATGAATATATTTTTATCATACTATGATAAAAAAATCATGTTGAAAAAAGTTATATTTTATTGTAGAAAAAAAATGTTTCATTAGAGGTACAAGATAAGATGGATAAATATTTCTGAATATTCTCAGAAGTTAAGAAAAAAAATAAATCTTGTCAAATGACAGACTGAAAAATTATAATAGATTATTTCTTAAACAAAAAAAAATAAAGATTTTGTTATCACCTGTAGCATACTCTCTAGGGCACTCTCATGTCCTGGTGAACATAGAAATAGAGTCTTGAAAAATACTTCAAGAAAATCTGTTTATGCTTACACAGCAATCTATACAGGTCCAAAAACTGATTTGTGCTGTGTTTTAATACTTCAGCATATTGAAATCACTTAATATTGCTTGAAACAATGCTTAATAATGCTTAAACCAAGAAACAAATACACTTTCCCATGTCATACATCAGATTTGTGTGCTTATCTGCACGAGTGAGTGCACAGAGAAATGCATTTCTGTGGATGATGGGAACAAACCTCCTCCATTTGCAAACAGAAATGCTGATTATGTTACAGGAGTGCACATGAGATGGGCATGAACTATAACAGCACCAGGGAAACACAGGCCTGAAGTCAGAATGAGAAAGATCATTTTTGTATCTACCTTTATATTGAGTTCATGTGCCAGGCAATGAGAAAAATCAGTCTCAGTGCTATTGAAACAACATCACTTATTCATTTGGTTCTTATTGCTATTGAGAGGTTATTTTGGCTTTTTAAAATGATTAATGCTATTTCCTTTGGTATGAATTTTGATAGTCTTTTGACATTTCCATCTGTTCTTATGTTTCTTAAACTAAGATTGTTATAATATTTTTTTTTAAATCACACAAGTATAATAACTTGAGAAGGAAACTTTCACCCACTTTAAACAAACAAAAATAAAATGAACCCACTGACCTAATGTTTTACAAGAACCAGAGAGAAAAATCTGGGGGGAGACGGGGACTTACTTCCAAGACACATTTCCCTGAAAACATGTTTTTTATTTAAGAAGCAGAGGTCAGATAAAAGCTTGTATAAGCGCTGTTCTTTGTTACTTTTGGAAAATAGTTTTATAAGGTTAAAAATTGTTTCCAAATTTAAGTTTTGTGTACCTCACTTCATTTGAACAATGGGAATTAAGAAACTATTCCAAAAGAAAATTAATTTTTAATTCTCAGGTGAAATTAATGTACAGAAAATATTTTAAATCTGGAACACTGTGTCCAGGGATTGGGTTCAGATTCTTTTTCTCCCAGTGCGACCTCAATGTAACGCAAAAGTCATTTGTTACATCAAGGGACAGATGCACACCTAATATCTGTAATTTGTTAAGGTCTGTTGGTATTCCTCTGATAACCTTTTATGGGGGCAGGAAGGAGGTTATTGTCACTTCTGCTGCAAATCTATCCTGTCTGAGCAGCAGATATAGTTCCTCCTTCTCTCCCATATATATATATAAAAATATTTAAATGCTCTATTTAATTCCAACATCGGTATAAGAAGCCAAACCAAGTCATCCATCTCACACTGAAAGCACCTCAATGCCAGTGGTACATTTTTCCAGCTTTGAGACTAAAGAAAAATTTTGTTCTGCTAAATGAAAGCGATCAAGTGGTTAATCCTTTCAAGTGCAATTAGCAGCACTGACCTCCCCGTTCTTTAAAATGAGGGTCATGGGGAGGTAAAGGCCAGTTCTGGGCCTTTTCTTTCATATCAGAATACCCCTTCACTAACTATCTCTTCTGTTTCCAAAAACATCAGAGACCAAGAGGGAAAAACAGGCTTCTGCTTCCATTAGCAGTAACTTAAACAGCCATAAGTTAAAGGGGGAGGAAAAGGAAGAGCATCTCTATCTCCTTTCACAACAGAAGACATCTGGCCTCCTGCGGGGAGGCCCCAGATAACAAAGAACCTGTCATTGCAACCCCGCCCGATGTGTTCAGAGAACCATTTTACCTGCAGTCTGGCTCATTCATTTCCTGCCACTGGAGCCATCTGCTTTTGCTTATTGTGGGTATTTTTGTTCTTTCTTTGGCCATGAGTACGAAGTGGCTTCACTTTAGCATGCCTGCATGCTTGGTCAGAGGGAGTATTTAATCCTTCTCTCAAAATGAATAAGAGAGGGAGCTGCAAAAAACAATTCCTTTCCTGGAAGGTAGCACAAATGTCATCCAAGCTGAGGTTGAATAAAGGGTCATGTCAGTGCATGGGGTAAAGATACATTGAGACTGAAAAGAGATGCCAACTTGGAATCTACAGGAGAACCTTCCAAAGCACTTGTAATCTTACCTTATTTAAATCCTTTGCTGCTGCTTCTTGCAATTATTTTTCAGTTGGAGTCCATCTGGTTTTTCACAGTGCTCTTCAGGCCCAGTTGCAGAGTAATACAGTGATCTGTTCTTACTTTTCTTTTGCACTGAGCTTCAGTATTTTGCTTGACTGCTTTAAAAATCAGCCTACATAAACTATGGTTATAGCTCACTTGTATAAAATGTAGTGTGATAGGAAAATCCATTCTAAGTATTCCTACCTTTGAAAGGGCCAAAAGAAGGATGGGGGTAGATTTCCACTAGTTTCCCATCATTTACTATAATTAATACGCTCCCAGGTACCATTAACTTGTGTCTCAGAGTATTCTGGGACACAAAAGTTAACAGTGATTGCAGCACAGTTAAAACAGGAAAGCTTTTCCACTAAGATTAAAATATCATGTGGCAGTTAAACCCCTGATCTACTGATACCAGAATATGAGGTATTAAGGTACTGAAGAACTCAGCATAATTCCTGAACTGTTACCTCTTGTCTTCAGAGACACCATTTTAGTAAAATTCCAATGCTGTCATTAATAAGAATGTGAATTGTGATAGGTGACACTTAGTAATACTGACATTCAAAGGAAGTGTTTATATGAAAAATGTACCACATTCTTCCTGTTCACTTGTTGGAAAAGATAACACATTGCTGCCATTTTATGGATCCCAAAGAGAAATGAGATGTTGCAGAATTTTGAAAGTAGGGTATCACATTAAACTAAAAACACTCATAGTGGTGTGATTTCTTTACCACTATCTGCCAGAAATAAATTCACATAGTTCTTGAGTTCCACAGCAAGAGGTGGGAACTACTTCTCTAATGCAAAGCAGACAGCAGACTTAGTATTTTAACCTCATGGAAAGTGGAAATTTTTGTCTAACTTTAGCAATACTGGTGCGGTTACCACATGATTTTACTGTTGACTTTTCAGACCACTGGTGTTGCAATAGGATGTTTAGAAACATCCCACAGGAGAGAATGCTGCACACCAACCCACCCCAGCCTGAGTCCTGCTGCACCCACCATCCTGGGCACTGGGCTTCCCTGACCTAGGAAGTTCATTTCTGCCTCTGAATAACAAATCTCTCCCTATGAAGCTTGGCCCGTCAGCCAGTTGAACTGAGCACAAAACCTAAAGGCTGAGAATTATTACTTCAAAGGTTCTGATGGTAAAATTTTTCAACAACAAGGACAAGATGTACACATATAGCACTAAGTACATATGTGTACACGTATAGAAGTAGGTGTACATGTGTTAGTGTCAATAAACATATATCTCTCCCCCAGCAATAAATGCATTAGGACACAAGCCAGATATTTTCTCTGTTGCTGTTTCTGTCTTAGAAAACATAAAGAAAATCAGTGTGGTATCAGAGTTTACAGTATTAAAGATTAAACTGCTACATGCATAGAGCAAATGTATACTTTAATTAGAGAGACATATAGCTGAGCCTGCTAATTTACATAGATGAGTAGTTTGACTAGGAATTCATATAAGTGTGGATGTACTCTCCAGCACAAGTGCTGTATTATCCCTCCAAACAATACACTGGGAAAAACAAATAATGTTTTATATTTTATTACCATTTTGAATATTGCTGCTGCTGAGTCTAGTGAAGCTCCCTACACTTCTCTTGTAACCATCACATTTTCTTTGCAGCTCCAAGCAGTGCTGAAATATTAGATTTATAAAAAAAAAAAAAAAAAATTAAGAACACCCAACGAGGCTGAACAGGATACACCAAAGTACTTAAAAGTGTAAAACTAAAATTTAGAGACTGCTGAACTACACCTGTACAGGGGAAATGCCATGGATCCTGCTCCACCATTTCTTTAGGACAGAAGGAGAAAGGAGCAAGAGGACATCTACCATGTAAGGTACTAAGGAAAAAGGGTTACCTCAGGTGATAGTGGGCATAAGCACCTATGTACATCCGCTTACATGATCCTTGATGGAAAATTGGTATTATACATAATGCAATGTGATGTTTTCTTTGCTGGCATTTGATTACTGACAAGTAGTTTATAAATTGCTTAGTTTATGCTAGTATTTACTCTATTTCAAAGTAATTTTATTAGAAACAACAGCATGTAA